AATGTCATTCTGAAATTGACAGCTACAAATTTAAATAGTTTATGGACTAGGAAGGTCCCCTCATTGTCTTTTTTACAATTGACAAGTGGTAATTTTGACATACTATATATGCAACTAGAATTGTTAAACTGTGATCATAATTTTTAATTTTTTGATGCTTAATTGATTAAGAGCCGCATTCATTTTTATCACCCTAGATTTAAATTTTTGGATGAATTAAAGTGAAAACTAAAAATTTATTGTTGGGTTTTTTAAATGCTTGAAAACTATTTGTTGAAATATTTAACAAATTGATGATTGAGGTTTGTTGGGATGTAATTTTAATGTTAGAGTTAAAAATTAAAATTTGAAGTTATTTGATGAAGATTTATGTGACTGAAGTTAGTAGAAAACGAAACTCATTTTATACAAGTTTATATAATATTGTGTAACAGTATAAAAGTGTGTATAATTACCTCTTATATTCTATTATATACTTTATATACAACATTGATACGTGATTTACTATAATAATTAAAAAAAACTAAATGGGGATACAAAGTCCATTTTCTTTCATGTGTAGAAAAATATAAGTGTGCATAAATAATTATGTATGTATATTTGAATAAATATGAATAGGGATGGAATGGCATAATATTTGAAATTTTGGTTGGTGATTTTGATTTTCGATTTTTAAAAGTATTATATCATTACCATATCCAATTAATTTGATATGATTCAATATTTTCAAGTCCAATTCTGATATTATTGGTATGAAAAATAGATAACAATAGAATTTTCAACTTACATATACTCACATAATAGGGAATTATGATTTCAACTTCTGTTAAAATATATATTCAAAAGAATGTACAAAAAACTTCATTTGATAATCATTTATATTTTATAAAAGATATTTCAATCAAGATAACTCAAAATTTTAACCTCTAAACATTTAGTTTTGTAGTAATACTAGGTGATATATTTATTTGTATTATTATAATATATATAAATTTTATATGTAACTATATACTTTGATATTGTATTCGATATTTTAAAAGTTTATTAATAAATAGCAAATATCATACTAATTATCAATAAAATATATATCATATCGAATATCATAAGATTGAATCACAATCTCAAAAAATTTGATTCGGTACGAAAACTCGGTGATAGCATCCATGAAAACTCAACACATTTGTGGAAGCTTTGAAAGTTCCAAGAGGACCTATGACAAGATCCCAAACAAAAACAAAAATCGAGACAAGCTTAATGGGCTGAAATAAGCAATTACAAAGTGTCCTGTGATGGAAGAAGAGCTCAAGCCCACATTTTCCTCGTCTTATATCTATTTGAAGGCCCAAATTAAAGCCCAAATCTGCCCCCAAATGGAGAAAATACTGCAGCCCAAAATTAATGATAATGTCACTTAAATGATACTAAATTAGTATATATATATATATACTAGATGAGCATTGTCCGTGCTAAGCACGGGCCCAACGTTTAAAATTTTATCATAATTTTACTTCTGTTTGATTTACTATGAAATATATTTGAAATCCAACATGGTAAAAAATATTTTTAAATAACTGTAATTTCAAAAAATACAATGTCTATAATTTTAGTAACGAATTACATTTCTTAATCTGCACGATAAAAGAATCCACATACAAGTGAGAGGCACTATTATTTTTCTTTTAAGTTTCAACAATTAGTTCAATATTAAGTTGGGCAAATTCACAATTTAGTATCCTTATTCAAAGTTTATCAATATATACATAATAAGAAGGCAATAAATTCTTATTACATAGACATTGAATGCACGACAGAAAATCTACTTGTAAAGCACAGTTTGCCGTTATTCTTTAAAAATTAAATGAATAAAAAAATTTTAACAGAAACAACTTTCTATAATTAATTTTACACAGGCAGAATAGGTATGATAAAATCAATAATGTAGAGTTTAGAAAGAAGAAAAAAACAAGAAAACTAAAAAACTATTAGAACAGGTTCCAAATTTCGAGGGGAGTCTAGAAATGAAAGCGAAAGAACAAGCTGCTTAAATACACTTTTTTCACAGGACAGGTACATGTTATAAATGACAAAAAGGGACTTCTGAGAGAAGAATAAAGACATCAGCCTGGAAATTGAGACATAAAATTCAAATAAATGGTTCATGTTGTTAAATGACATAATAAGAGTATATAGTGTAAAAGTTAACAGATCATTGCATTAGTTATGCTGCTTTACAGTATCTTTTACAAATGTCAGATCTAATAGACTTAAAACACATGAACTTCAAAGTGCAATTATATAACTAATTTCTCCCATTACAGAAACAACTTTACTGCAGACATGTGTCTTCTAAATACTCTTCAATTGTTAATATTTGTCATGCTATGCTCATACGAATACATGTTAGGTAGAAAACATTGTGGCTACTTTCCCTGTACATTCCAGAAAAGTAGTGGCAGGAGTAACAACACAGTCCCAATGTATAATTTATAATGGATCTAAAATATATTTCAATGAGAAAAATTAATAATTTAAACACATTATAGCTGCCAAATTTGTTCATTATATATTCATGTGAATGTCATACTACTGAATGTTGAAGTGAGATACTTACATAGTTTTAACATTTTCATATGTGGGAGTGCTAATAACATACATTTACATACTATTTTAAATTAGACAAAAATAGATGCATCTTTCATGCTTGGATCTTCTGGACCATTTTTTTTTATTATCAAAATCACCTGTTACATTAAAATTGAGGGATTAAATGTCAGCACAGAATCACATAGTTTATACAACACAGGATATCTCTGTTAGCAGGTCTAAGATTTATAAATAATTTAATCTAATTCTGACAATATAGGCACTAAAAACAACAGCAAGCAATGTAACGGTAATAACATAAGTATTATAAACCACATGGCCAAGACATTTAACTCTCAACAAATTCACATATTCTTTCCTTCCCAACAACAACATAAGAAATGTTGTTGTTATCCATTTTATAGTAGATAAGCTGACAATAGAAATAATGATAATTTACTTAAAGATAATTTTTATTGAACGTAACTTGAAAGTAAATGACACATTGCTTACTTGTAAAAATAAAACAGTGAGGCCACCAAGAACTACGAATTCAACAAAACTATCATTTTTACTTCTTAATGACTGATCAACACCACTCCAATATGCCCTACCCTGCATGAAGTCCTTTCTAGTAGCATGAGAAATGTTTTGTTTTCTTTTGAAGAGGCCAAGGCATGGAACTATCACAGGGAAAAGAGATTCTAACTTTTACCAGTCAATACATTGTAAAAGTTTCATGAATTATAATATCAAGATTAATTGAAAATTTCTTTTTCAAAGACTTTTGTTTTCTTCATTTCCTTGTTTAAGGTGGTTTTGAAAAGCAACACAGATCTCTACATTTTCATAAAGCAGCACATATAACAGAAAGTGCACACACCTTTTTAGAACAATAAATGTTAAAAATAAGAGTTTCTTCTTTAGGCGTTCGTAGTAACAAAACTTACAAGGAAAAACATTATTTTGCACGTTCACTGTTTAGTTAGTGGTGTGATTGTGTCAATAGTAAGCCTTTTTTTCATTTTGACAATATTACATACATGCACAATAATAAAATTGTAAGAAGAGTTGATATTGAAGGAAACTAACCAACTAAGCCACAACTACTGATGTATAGAAATGAAGAATGAATGAGAAGAGAAGGATAGAAATGAAGATAACAAGACTACTGATGTATTGATTGAAGGTTTATTCTTAAAAAAACAAAGAGATTGTTCCTAGTGATTCTATTTCAAATTTAAATTTTGTGAGGTATTATAACTATAATGTGATTGTTCGTTGCTTATTACTCTCAGTTGCAACATTGGTGCATTTATTTTGAGACTTATAAGAGTTAATGATGAACATGTGAAATGGTGCAATTTTTTTAATTTTGTTTGGCTTCCTACTGATTTTCATGTGAAAGTCACATAAGGTTTATTTAAGAGGCATTTATGGGCTGAATCTTCTGTTAATAAGTTGCAAATGCTAATGAGGTATCGAATCTAATAAGAAATGATGAGGAAGCTAAGGCTAGGCAGAAGCAGGCAATAGATTGTATGATGAGTATCCGTAAAGTTATATTATAACAATAATAGTAATGCCTCGTGAACTTCCATATAGAATTGGAGTAATGTGAAGGAGAGACTGATAACTTACCTGAAACTGAAAGATTCAAAAGACTAAACAAACTTGAAACAACAGCAAGATGAACTGTCTGGAAAAGAGAAGATGAAATAAAGTAGTAAAAAAACTAAAAAGTATCAGAAAAAGAACAAGGAAATAAACACCCATTTAACTTTTCAATATCAACATTGATACAACACAGCCAAATTAACATTGAAATTCGAAATAAAAATAAAGATCATACAAAAGTAATAAATAACGCAACACAAAAACTAAAGGGAAGAGATGAAGGTTGAAGAATATTGGAGAGAAAGGATTAGACGAAATAATAATTAACAATATAATCTAGGAATTTCATATCATAAACTTTGAAAGCATGAAGAGAATTGACAGAAAATTGAGATAAAAACATGCATGAGTTGGATCACCCGATTGAGAAGATGAAAGAAAGGAAAGTATAGTTTTCAAAAGTTTGGAAAAAAAACAAAGATCATGGCAAGAAAATATGTTAAATATAAAAAAGCACCTATGAATTCAGCTATCAAATTGAAATTTGAAGAGAATCAAGAGATAGCTTGGGTAAAAATTGGGAGATATACTAACCGCAAATTGGTACAATCATCAGTGCAAAGAAAATTGTACTTCATTCGAGAGAAAAATAGAGCAGTGTGAGTGTGGATGCTTCTGGAATAAAGTTGAGTGTTCTTTTTTTGCGTAAAATGATTTGGGGATGTTGAGTGACAAGTGCAATAAAATAATAGATATATAACTAATTTAATGACGAATTTGCCCTTGGTTTGGAGTAAGATATTGTATCATAGATATTTATCATTTACCCTTTATGTTGAGTATAATTACAAATCTGCCATTGGTCGTCCTTGGTCAGTAAGATGACTAATGAAAAACTCAAGAATACTTAGAACCCAAATACGGTTAATATATGGCAAGATTAGGTTTCAACATAGTATGATCCCTTCACTAATTAATTAATTAATATATAATAATAATTAGAGAAGTATGAATCTAAGCCTCCCAGCTCTTGAAGAAGCAAAAATTACATGTACAACTTCTTGATGAACATTGATATTTTAGTGTCTAATAAACATTTGATTTGACCATATAGAAAAAGCTTAACGATAAAAGCACCAGAAGACACAAATTTGTGGAGAGAAAGACAGAAAACACATAATAAAGAAGAGGTCGAAAAGCTTTATTTCTATTCTAATAAATAAATGTAGCAAGAGTGAGAAGAGGTCAAACAATTGTAACTAACTCCTAATTCAGTAGTAGCATAAAATCAAACAATACTTAGCTAGCCCAACCAATAGAAAAATAGACCGTATCGATCAGCACTTCGATGCTGTTCAATAAGCAGAAAAACACACATGTATAGGCAAAGTGACTAAGTATAATGCATGGACACCTTAACAAATAGTGCTCCACCAGCCATCCAGTACAAACACTACCAATTAAGCATACAAATAATCAAAGTGTAAGAGAAATCAACCATGAAACACCTGCACTTTGGGGATATTCACGTTATATTCCTATTTACTCAAAGT